CACACCCACACACACATCCACACACACACACACACACACACACACACACACACACACACACACACACACACATATTAGTCGTCCGACTATTTAATGCCCTTGGCGTATGTGGGTTACACAAGTTAGGTCATATCACACTGCGCATGGTATTAGGGTTACACAAGTTAGGTAATATCACACTGCGCATGGGGGAAGCGCTGGAAAGGGTGAGGTCATCGGTCAAGAGAAGGGAGTGGCCAGTGGTTTCGAGGGATGACGGTGGGCGTTGACTGTGACCGGCAGTGATGTCAAAGCGAGACGACTCTGTGGCGATTTGTCGGACGCGGTGGCACATCGCAAAGGGAGGTGGCGAGTCGGACAGCGAAGGCTGTGTGGTGTGAGTGGAGGTTAAGACGCCCCTTGCATCGACACGTGTGAAGCTGATTACCGAGAGTCTAATTCCGGGGCTGTGCGTGAGTGAGTGAGTGAGTGAGTGAGTGACAGGTAGGGTGGTGGCAATTCCGTGTGTGCGAAGGCGCTCTCCATTCCTCCCATTCATCAAGAAAGATGAGCGGCGCAGGCCCAGCTGTCCCAGCTGTCACTCAGGAGGGGACAGAGATGCCCTCTAAGGGAACTCAGGAGGGGAAAGCGACGCCCTCTGAGGGAACTCAGGAGGGGAAAGAGACACCCTCTGAGGGAACGGAAGCCATAGCCGCCATAGCCGAAACTCCACCGGCGAAGTTGACCGGCATCGTGCTGGAGGAAGGGTCGATATTCGACCCCGCTAAGGAAGCAGAGAAGGCCGACGTAAATGCCTTGGTACCTTCCGAAAGAGGAAAGTCGTTGGCTCGACATCGCCTCCATCCCGATGCGGAAAGCGAGCTGTGCAATGCCGTCAACGTGGCCTACGGGATGTCGTACACATTCCACGCCATGTCCCTCTACTTCGCGAGAGATGACGTGGCACTGAAGGGCTTGTCCCGCTTCTTCATGAAGCGGAGCAACGATGAGAGAGAGGATGCTCTCTCGTTGTCTAAGTACTTGTCGAGGAGGGGAGGACGACTCAAACTCAAGTCCGTCTGCGAGCCCCGGATGGAGTATGACGACCCGGTGAGGGGTGATGCTCTGATGGCTATGGAGTTGACTGTGGCTATGGAGAAACTGGAGTACGAGAAGTACCTGGCTCTGGTCAAGCTGGCCAACGACAAAGAGGATATGGAGTTGGAGGACAAGATCACGGACGAGTACCTGCACCCGCAGGTCAAGCTGATTAAGAAGCACTCGGAGTACGTCTCTCAGCTGCGTCGCGTAGGCAAGGGTGAAGGCACCTACCTCTTCGACAGAATCCTCAAGAACAAGATGAAGGGCAAACCGGAGCTCCACCATGTGCACCCTCATGCGTCTCCTCTTGCGTAGAGGAGTCTTGTGGCAGGTGCTGCCTCGTAATCGATCATTCTGCAATTGAAGACACGGCGTCAGGCGCTCTCCTGTGTCATCGACCCGCTTCTCAAGAACACAAAGATAGATGAAGTGGACCTCAGTGGAGCTAAGAACACAAAGATAATGAGAAGGTGAGACTGGAGCTTAGAACAAAGAGATAGATGAGTTTTTTTTCAATTTTTAGAAAATCAAAGAAGTGAAACTGGAGCTGTATCCACCGTGATTCTTAAGTGCAGGCCCGTGCGGAGCGTCATCCTGCTGCGGATTTTCCATCTGATCTAGCTGTGCTGTAACGATGGCGACGAAGTCGGGGGTCATCGAATCAATTCAATTCAGATGGAATGGGAGCTGCCGTTGATTAGTTGCCATTGCCAGATGGCGATGAATTACTGATGTAGTGGTTGGTGGGTTAGCGCTTTTGTCGTTTTCTGGTGTGTGTCATGCGTCGGCGTCTTCGTGATGTGTTGGGCGAGAAAACGACCGCGGTGGCTTTTTGGTGGGGAAGAGAGAGCGAGAGAGAGAGAGAGAGAGAGAGAGAGAGAGAGAGAGAGAGAGAGAGAGAGAGAGAGTTTCGATTTGTTGTCTTTCGGAGGGAGTGAGGACGTGGGGGAGAGAGAGAGAGAGAGAGAGAGTTTCGATTCGTCAGTTGTCTTTCGGAGGGAGTGAGGACGTGGGGGAAGGGGTTATGGGAAAGAGAGTGGCAGTCGAGACACCAGTGTGTGCCACTGTGTGGATGCTGCTGATCGCTTAAGTGCAGAGCGGAATTCGGGGTGGGGTGGGTTGCCCAGATGTCGATAAGGTGACCAGGATTTGTCCAATTTTTAGGATTGGGGAGGGTTGCCCAGATGAGCATCACGTGACCACCCAGTGTATCATATATAGCGTTAACAGAAAGTAGTGCTGCGGAGTTCCAGTCTATGCTGTCCAATATAGGTAGAGATGAAATAATTGTAATTGCGTGTCTTAAGGAGTTTTAGTCTGTCGCGCCCTAGCGATAGGGAAAGGTCGAAGGGCGATCTCCACCAACTGCACCAAGGTCGAGACTCGAAAGGCGTAGTGCCGCGTCAAAGGGAAAATTTTAAAGGATGAGAAGGTGGGTCTCAATTTTAAAGGATAAGAAGGTGGGTCTCTACTTCTCTTTTCAGTGCCGCGCGGGGAAGGCAAAGCTGTGAGTAGTGGAATGGCAGCGGTGGACGTCGGAAATATACCTGCGCCAGCGACACATGCCAAAAAAAAAAAAAAAAAAAAGAAGGACGTAACTGGGCGGAGGCTCGAACCTACTGTATGTACCTGAAAAGAGGTCCACAGAGTCCGCTACACCTAACTTGAGGTTTGGAGGTACCTATATCTAATCTGCAGGTCGAGGTAGTTAGTGTATCAGAGGAGAGGGTGGGAGGTAGAACCAGAAATGGCCGGTGGTACTACCCTTAAGCCTCCACAAGTGGATTGGAGGCCTGTGTCAGTGCAGATATTGAGGATGAACCGCACCATACCTCGCACGTTGGGGGGAATAGTGAAATAGAGACAAAGAGAGTGGGTTAAAACTGTCTTATGTTCTTGTTGTCAGAAAAAGTAAAGAAATGAGAAGAGGAAAGCAAGGGTTGAATCGAAGTTGGCCAGTGCTGTTTCTCTTGCATCATATTCTCGTTTGCGACGTTTTTGTTTTTCTTCCTCTCAAGGAGTCGATCGCTTGTTTCACTCTCTTGTGTGTGATCCTTCCTCAGGCTGTCCTTTAAATACGGCTACAAAGACATAAGCATTCAAATGGCTTTAAGTTTTTACGCATCTTACGTTTTTTTGACTTTCTCTAGCTGAGTGTGTGTGTGTATGGACAGTGTGCATTTAGAGTATGTGAGCGCCCGAGGACCTTTTCTCGACTCTCGACGTTGCATGCTATTCAGTGGTACTCTTAAGCCTGCATGCCCTTCCTATCCAGATTGACCTGTCCTGTTGTGTGTCTGTTATGTTTTCTTCTCTTTGTGTTGTATTGTTTGTATTTTGTTTCTGTTTGGTATATGTTTCTATTTTATTTGTGTTCCACTGTTCCCTTTTTATTTTTCTGTGCTCCCTTTGTTCTTGTTCTATTTGCTGTCTATTTGTTTCTGAATCCTATTCGCCGTTTACCGTTTGGTCTGTTCTATTTCTAAACGTTTCTGATGATGTCTATTTGTTTTTCGTCTGTTCTATTTCTGAGTGTTTCTACCGTTTACCGTTTGGCGTTTGGTCTGTTCTATTTCTGAACGTTTCTGATGTCTATTTGTCTACCGTGTCTTCTGTTCTATTTCTGAGTTTCTAGTTGTATATCTGGGTTCTATTTCTGATATTTGTCCTCTTTCTTTGTGTTCCGTTTCTTTTTGTTCATATTTCCGTTTGTTTAAATTTTCTTCCTATTTCTGTTTTGTGCATCGTGTTTCTGAATGTGTGTTATACTCTTTAAACAGTTCTCACTCTCCTGTTTGTCCCCCTCACAGTGTCGTTTCTGATCTGTTTCTTTCTTTTTGCGATGACTTCGGTTGTGGCACAAACGAGTTTGTGAAAGGGCAACCGAAACACAGGCGGGCAACAAACTCGCGCGGCGAGTTAAAAAATGAGCAACAAAGTCACAGCGTGCGTGTTCATAAAGGGCAACAAAGTCGAGGTTGGAATGCAAACTCGCGCATTGTCAAAGTCGAACAGTTCTCACTCTCCTGTTTGTCCCCCTCACAGTGTCGTTTCTGATCTGTTTCTTTCTTTTTGCGATGACTTCGGTTGTGGCACAAACGAGTTTGTGAAAGGGCAACCGAAACACAGGCGGGCAACAAACTCGCGCGGCGAGTTAAAAAATGAGCAACAAAGTCACAGCGTGCGTGTTCATAAAGGGCAACAAAGTCGAGGTTGGAATGCAAACTCGCGCATTGTCGAAGTCGAGGTTGGAATGGGCAACAAACTCACGCGTGTAGAGGTTGGAAAGGGGCAACGAAGTCACGCGCTGTTGAGGTTGCGAAGGGGCGAAGTGGCACGGGGGCTACACCTCCCTTGGCACGGGGGCAACAAGGTGGCACTGCCATTTTTATCTATACCTCCCTTGGCAAACTCACCGCCCGATTTTGCTGCCCGCCAGTGCCTGCACATGTTTTGTCTGCCCTTCCAAAACCGAAAGTGTGACGCTGCTGGAGTTTTTTCTTTGTTCTTTTTCTTTTTCTTTGTTCTTGTTCTTTGAAGTTTTTTCTTTGTTCTTTTTCTTTGTTCTTGTTCTTTGTTCTTTTTTCTGTCTTACGAAAAATGGATGTTTTGTTGCCAAGAATTCAACGGAGGATGCAACCCGGAGAACCCGAGTATTGGGAGCATTACCCAGCTTCGATGGGGAGAGAGAGAGGTGTTCAAGCCTGTTTGTGGATGTATTTTCCGGTTCTCTTGTTCGCGTTTCCCCTTTCTTTGGAGTCCTCTTTTCTGTCCTTTTTCCGTTTTGGTCCTTATCGTATTTTGGGGGGTGTCTCTGCGATGTGTGCTTTGTGTGTTGTCACAAGAGCAGCAGGCAATGCTTGGGTGTCCTCTTTCCGTTTCGATCCTTTCGGTTTTTTGGGTGTCTCTGCGATGTGTGCTCTGGCGTGTTGTTCACAAGAGCAGCAGGCAATGCCTGGGTGTCCTCTTTCCGTTTCCGTCCTCATCGTTTTCTTGGTTGTCTCTGCGATGTGTGCTCTGGGTTCACAAGAGCAGCAGGCAATATGCTTGGGCGTCGCTCCACCACTCGTCTGATACGAAAAACCCTAAACACGAAAACGAGTGGTTGGTTGTGTAACTTGTGTTACCTTCCCCCTCCTCCACAACGATACACACTGTTCGACACGTTGTTTGGTGAGAAGAGCAGCCCGGCCGATGAGTTTTGCATTGATTTTGTGGATGGAATTTGCCTTTCGTATGTCTGCTAATCACACTCAATGTTCCTTCTGGCTGTCGTTGTTGCTGTCACAGTTGTAATTGCTCTCTCCAAAGTTTAACTGCCAAGATGTATGGCCGATCTGTGACGGATAGATGCGAGACAGATGGATGTGTGACAGCGCGTGTGGCAAGACGTGAAAGATGGATGAAAGATGGATGCTCTTGACATCTGGGATAGCTAGATGTGTGACAGAACAGGTGTTGGACAGGTAGACATGGGACAGCTCGCAGGTAGATGTGTGATAACTCGCAGGCAGATGTGTAGCTGTAGACTTGTTGCAACTCACAGGCAGATGTGTGACAGGTAGATTTGTGACAGCTCACAGGCAGATGTGTGAAAGATGGATGGAAGATGGATGCGCTTGACGTCTGGGATAGCTCGATGTGTGACAGAACAGGTGTTGGACAGGTAGACATGGGACAGTCCGCAGGTAGGATGTGTGACAGCTCGCAGGCAAATGTGTAGCTGTAGACTTGTGACAGCTCACAGGCAGATGTGTTACAGGTAGACTTGTGACAGCTCATAGGTAGATGTGTGACAGGTAGACTTGTGCCAGCTCAGAGGTAGATGTGTGACAGGTAAGACTTGTGACAGCTCATAGGTAGATGTGTGACAGGTAAGACTTGTGACAGCTCATAGGTAGATGTGTGAGAGGCAGGACTTGCGACAGCTGACGGGTAGATGTGTGGTAAATGTGTGACGGATGGATGTGTGACATATGTGTCACAAATGCGTGACCTAGTTGACGTATGGTGGATTAGGGTGACGGCGATGTGTGACAGGAAGATGCCCGTAGCTGCTAGGTGCGTGACACTGTGACAGGAATCATCATTGTCTGTTAACTACTTCCCAATTACTCCTTGCTTTCCTTTCAACCACCGCCAAATTGCCAATCAATCATATTATCAATCATTGCTCTCATTTTCCTCCAACTATTTGCACTCGTTGTTCTCATCCAATCATTGCTCTCTCTCTCCAATGTCCTCTCTTTGATTTCTCTCCCGACTTCCTCTCATCATTCTTTCTCGACTTTCCACTCAACTTGATTGTTTTGTCGCTCTGCAGTGAATGTGCCATCGTCCCTGTATTCTCTACTGAAACGTCAATCATGTCAATGCACGACTTCCCACTTCTGAGGTGACCGTAGTTCTCACAATTCTTAAGTATGTGGCATCGAATTTTGCCAACAGAGCTCTCCTGGAACACTACTGTGTCGCAGTTGTTAGTACTTAAAGAGTAAAGACTAGGCTGTGGTACTGTACTGTAGTGTTTTCTGAATGACAGTGGACGGAGCTATGTTCCGAATGGCATTGCTAAGTATGGTGAGGGGAACGTTTCCTTCTCGTTAGTCTTGAAATGGTAGAACGCCATACCCTTCACATAAACGCCTTCAACATCCACAAACTGCATCTCTCTCTCTCTCTCTCTCTCTCTCTCTCTCTCTCTCTCTCTCTCTCTCTCTCTCTCTCTCTCTCTCTCTCTCTCTCTCTCTCT